AGCTATCTGAAGGGCAAACACATTTCTCTCTTTGATTGGCTTTGAAACAGAATATAGCAGAAGTTAAAATAAGCTCTGACTTCACACCCATTAGGATGGCTATTACTAAAAATCACAAAGACAAACCGCCCCAGAAAAAATAATACTAGTAAGTGTGTGAGGATGTGGAGAAAAGGGAACCCTTGTACACTGCTGATGGGAATATAAAATGGTGCAGTTGCTATGTAAAATGGTATGGCAGGCTGGCCACAAAATTAAACACAAGAACTATCTACCACGTGATACAGCACTTCTGGGTGTACACGCAAGAGAGCTGAAAGCAGGGACTTGACAGATATCGGTAGACACATGTTCACCAGCATTATTCACAACAACCAAAAGGTGTATATAAAATGTATATACATATGATGGAATATTATTCAGCTGAAACTTTGACATGTGCCACAACATGAACAAATCTTAAAGACATTATTCTAAGTGACACGAGCCAGTCACAAAAGGAGAAATATTGTATATGATTCCATTTATAGACATTCTTAGATTCTATAGAGACAGAAAGTAAAATGGTGGTTACCAGGAGCTAGAAGGAGGGGAATGTGTACAGAGTTTCATTGGGGACAAGGAAAAACTTCTGAAGAGAGATAGTGGTGATGGTTGCACAACAGTGTAAATGTACTTAATGCTACAAATTTGTTCACTTAAAACTGACTAAAATGGTAAATCTGATGTTACATATTGTATCCCCAAAGTAAAAAGGCAGAGTGAAGAGCACAATAAAACTTGCTTTCCCTACCTCAAAAAACAACAACAAAATTCCCAAAAACCGCAAGCTCTAGAGTCAGGCCGCCTGACCACTTATGAACTGTTTGCCCTGGACAAATTACTTGAATCATTGCCTTTAGTTTTCTCGTCTATAAAATGAGACTAATTCTATCTCAAAGGATTGTTGTGAAGATTATATAATATTTGTCTAGTTCTTAGAAAAGTGCCTGGGCACATGTTAAGCACTCAATAAATACCAGCTATTGTTACTAGCATTAGTGAGCCACTTGTGGAGAAATAGGCACCACAGAAGGCCTCGGATGATCCAGGAGGTAAGTTACTCTATTCAGTCAAATCCTTACTATGGAGATGCACGTGTAATCTTCATTTAAAAAACCATGCAACAAATAGGTGGTTTTGTGGCGTTTGCTTTAAATTCAGATATATTTTGAAGAGATACCAGTTTCTCAAAATGTCTCCAGTAATTTGAGAGTTATCATATAAATGACACACTGATTCTACATAAAAGAAGTAGGGTAAATTATGAAAGCACATCCTAATTCAGGTTTTTGCATTACATTTGCAATGGAAATAACCAGTATAATATGGTGTCATTCTTTCATTTACTTATCTGATATTTACTATGTATCTACCATGTATTAGCCACATAAATATATACATACTGAATATACATACATACAGGAATACCAAATTGCATCTAGGGAATAAAACAAAAAAGGCCTCAAAATGGCTTTTTAAATTATAGTGCTTTTTAAATATTTCCCATGTCAGGCTGTTTAAGAGTAATAACCTTGACATAAAGGATATAGAAAACTGACAATTGTGAATCTATAGCAAATAAACACTGGAGCAAAGCTCAGTACTGTAGTTAAGCTAATACACTGGCCTCTTTTACCTCTGGTCTTTTAGAACTCTGAATTTAGATACGTTCTATGACTGCTTACAGTAATAGGTTCTAGTTCCTAGAAATGCTATTGTACCTAAATATGTCATCACAGCCCAAAATGGGCAAAGAGAAAAACCTTCATGTCCTGGTTTCTGGGTCACTTACTTCAATAAATATTTAATATTAAAAATAAAGAAATTTATAAGGCCCAATATAACGCGACAACTATAAAAAGCCTTGACTGAAGCAGCATAGCAAAATCTTGACAAATAAAAGAAAAAGTATCTTGCCTTGTGCTGAAGAAACTGTTTATACAGCTGGTGGCATAGCTAGAGCTAAGAAAAATATGGTTAAGAAGGAAACACCCCTGCGTTTATTAGTACAATGATTTTAAGCTTTTGGATCTGATTATGAACTAGTGTGGTGTGTTAAGTGTGCAAGGAGTTTCCCTAGGGTTCTGCTCACTTTTGGCCATCTGTTCCTCCTATCCCTCCACAAAGCAGTCTTTTAAAGGCACCTCTTTGGGCCTCTAGATGCCTATGCACCCTGTGAAAGCCAGTCGTCTAAAAGGAGACAAATGTCATTAGACACACATCTTTCAATTGATGTCTAGAATAATGTACAAACCATACCAGCCAGTTATATCACCTTTATAGTCAAGGGACCTCCATTCTCAGAGGCATAAAAGAAACAGGTATAAAAGTTAGAATTTAGAAGTTTGGTTTCCCTTTGACACAGGACTAAAGTTTATCTGAAAACTTTCAACAAACCTGGCTAGACATACACCAAAAATTTATGTGGCATGTAACTCAATTCTATGAGTGTATTTTCTCTAAGTGTGCTAATTGCAGAAAGCCATTTCCAGTCCATTAAATACATTTATTTTGACACAAAAGGCTTTGTTGTGATATTAACTGTCTACCATAGCCTGAAAGTAAGCTCCATACAATTCTTGGTTTCAGATTCCAGTAAAGGATTACAGGTTACCTTGGTGCATTAATCAGAATCCACTTAAAGTTTTGACAATGGGACTAGAGACAACTAGATGAAGAGTAAGTTCTCTGCTTCTGCCAACAGTAGCAACTGTTGTGAATAAATGCATCACAAGAAAAGCAGACTGAGATCTTGGGAACTCTGACTGGTGAATGGTATTCGGGGGTAGGGGAGTAAGCAATCCTTTCAGATGCTGATTTTATAAGCTTGATTGGTAAAAAATTTTTTACAACAGTTTTTAGGAAACAAGTTCTTTGAGCTCTGTGGATCGCTCCACAGAATGCAAAGGGTACTCCTGCTTGCAAAGGACTTTGTTTACCACCACTTCCATAGAGATCATTTGAACAAATATTTTAAAGTAACATTAAATATCTCACACTTTTTCACTTTAAAGAAGGAAAATTTAAGAGAAAAACAGATGCGAATCTATCAGAAGGGGGGAGATGTGATGCTACTTGAAAAACACACATTTATACTTATAATGAGCAGTGTTTAAGAAATACAACAAAATTTCACAACGGTGACTATTCTGACTACACAAACATACCATTCCTATGAATATTATAAGCAAAGTCCAAAGGCTGAAGATCATAATTAGGGATGTAAGGCTTAAGTACAGAAACTTTCCATGACAGACAGCCAAGACAGTAACAATACTAATGTGGCTGTTGATTTCAACAGAAAGTACTTCCTGAAATCTAACATCACTTCTGCAATGTAACATAATTCTATTTTCCTACTGTTATAGTAGCATTCTGGTGCTTGCTATATATATGACCACTACCATTACAGAAGTTCTCTACTAAACAAAATTAACAATACACATTGAGATGCAAAGATATCAACCATCTATGGTACTCATGAGTTTTAGATCATAGCTGAATGTGTTCACACATCCTGGGATGTAAGAAATGCCTAATGTAATTGCTACTTTCATTTAGAAATATGAAATTTCTCAAGAGGTATATTTTAATGGCTCAAATAAAGAGATATCAATATTAAACTGATAAGGAAATAGTTTGTAGAATGAAAAAAGCTAGTAAGACTAATTTAGAATGATGACTTCTGTAATTACGGAAAGAAAGAAGCAAGATTCTTCTATCTTAGCTTCAAATACTTGTCACAGATAGCCAATTGATAATATCTAAATGGTGGCAGTCTTAAGAAAATAGTGCTTAGAGTCATTGCCAGCTTTCCCCCCAAAAACTCTATTTCTAGGACACACTCTATAAGATCCTACTGAGGCTGACGGCATCAGGGATGCTAAAAGTAACATTACCTACTCAGATCTGATTTGCCAAGAAACAGGTCATATATGTCCTGTCTAATTGGGAACTGATCATTTCTTTCACCTTCTGACAACCCATTACTTGCATGTCAACAAGGCACGGCACAATGTATGTTTTTGAAAAGTATCTGACTTTGCAGATAGTCTATCCTTGATCACCTACTGCATGATTCACATCACACTCTAGAAGATGGCCAGCAGAAAGCACAGCATGTCAATGTCACCATGTCAAAAGGAAAGAGCATGCTTTTCCAATTTTCAGATGGAAATCTTCAAATGGAACCCAGAGAAAACACAGCTCAAATAACTCCTAATAAGCGGAAACTAAGAATTTACATGGGTTGACGGTTACGAGCGGGATGGAAAGGATGGAGAGGGAATAGGAGGAAGGAGAGGTGGTTTATCTTGGGATAAAAGAGAATAATTATAGTGTCTTTAATTTGTAAGCACTGACTCAGAGAAGACTTCACAGAGTCTCTGGTTTGCCTACTTATTGCACTTATGTATCTGTTAGAAGATGAGTCTCCATATGTTTGTTTGATTGAAATTCACTGTGAAGCCAGACTTCTTTTCTTTTGATATTAATGTGTCTTGTTGCACTATTTTATTGACTTATAAAGGCTTTTATGCAAGAGGGAGGATCAGAACCTACATTTAGATTTCTGAGAAAGACTAAGCATCAAATCATCAACTTAAATAAGTGGTCTTGGTTATACCTTATAAAATCTCAACCTATGGAAAGGAAAGCAAATAGTAAGCAATAACACTTTTTCAGTACAATCTAAACACACCAGCTCTCTTAGTACTTGGGAGAAGATAATAAGCATGTTGAAAATATCATTTCTGCATTATTAGCTTTCCTCCATCACTTGAAGTCACTCTCTAAGGCACTAGCTATGAAACTGCCTCTAAAAACACCATTAAATGGAAAGCTTCCAAATCCACAAGAGAAAAGAAACACTTGGAAAATGAAAGACAAAGGAAGTAAAAGGCAAATAACAAACTCAAAGACACAGCCATACTTAGGTGAAAAGAAATTTGATACTATACTTTGGTTTTGCATTTTTGTATTCTTCAGTGTCTGTGTCCTCGTCCTCTGAGTACCAATTATCTCCTCTTCCTCCAGCCAAGAGGCCCCTGGCCGCCAACAGTCCTGCAGCATTCCCATAGCCAGTGTATTTCAGCAGACTATCCACTGCAAAAACAGAATAAGGTTTTAGATAGGAATCCTTGGGTCTTCACCATCATCATCAACCACTCACCAACACAGGAACATTGAAGACAGACGCTATGGCAGTAAACCTTTAAATTGAGAGATTTTCAAAATGTGGTAGGGTAGTGGTTACACTGAACTACTTACAAATTTTCCCATAGGCTCTGGGGACTAAGAGCCTTTTTTGAGGTATCAGAAACTAAAACAGAGCTGTTCTGAACACACTTTATGGCAAAAGTGGGGCCTCTGTGACTGCCAGACCTTTGGTAAGGGTCACGCTTTAAGTTTCTGATCTCAGATCTTACTATTTAAAAATCCAGTTTTGGAGAAATGATAAGAAACTAGATAGAGTGAAAGATTGGGATTTTAGCAATATGGCACATAATGTAAAATCTCTCTCTCATTCTTTGTTGGAATTGGAAGAAAAGGGAGTAAGAAATAAGAAAACTTAAGGAAGGATATTAGCAAATAGCATAGGCTATAATTTATTGCTTTTTTAAAATAAAAAGTCAGTAACCATATATAGGCACGTGAAGCCCATTAAGAAGGCAGACCCAGGAGTTAGACTGGCTGGATTTCAATAATGGCTCTACCAATTACTAATTGGTTGACCTTGGGTAAGATATTTTGCAGTTTTATCCTAGTTTTCTATTCCGTAGAAATAGAATAGTAACTATCTACCTCACAAGTTAATATATGCAAAGCATGAAAAGTATCTAAAACGAAGTAAACAGTCATTCTTTTTCTCTGAGAAGAGTGGGTAAAATGATAATTTTAGAATTATCTTAGTTTTTTTTTTTTTTTAAAAAGAAGTCTAATGAAAAGTTTGGTTCAGGTTCTCTGTAAGTATTATCCTGCCAACAGGGTCAGGTGATGTCTCTCTTAAGGTGAGCAGACACATACAACTTTTGCAAGGGATACTTCCACTGTAGTAATGTTTTTAGTGATTTCTAAACACCTTCAAGGAAGATACTAAACAATAACTGGCAGCTTTGTTTAGCAGTATTTAATTTTCTTCAGGTACAATTTCAAGGTAAACATTACAATATTTAATCAAAAGATAAGAATTGAGAAAATTTACTGAAGGTCTTTAACAGAATGTTGTTAAAATGTCATCTGAAAGGCAACTGTAGGAAACATAACATAACATACAATCTTATCCATGTATAAAGCCATAGTAAAATCTACATCTGTAATTCAGATCACTTACCTCAAAAAAGACAAAATAGAGCTGGAGAAGATTCAGAAAAAGGTAATTAAAATGACTGGGGAACTGAAAGGGTTGGTGGAAAGGAAAATAGGTAAGAAAAGTGGGTATATATGATCAGGGTATAAAATCATGGAGGATATGGATAGGAAAAATGTATTCTAGGATAGAGTTGACTGTTACATTTTCAAATACCTGAACTAGAGGGTCCTTCTCATGACACTGTAAATAGGTGGTATGGGGATAAATAAAAGGACGTCCTGCTTTCAAATAATATAGCAAACTGGTGAAATTTGTGCAAAAGGAAACATGGGCTAATGAGTATATTAAATGATGTTGAAACCAGTCATTTTCAATCTTAAAACCTATTGGTAACTGTGGTCTGTCTGTAATAATCTTCAGTGGGTGCTGGATAGAATCCTATTAGAATTATTGAATGAGGGTGGGGTAAGCCCTCTGAGTAAGTCTGAAATTCTCTCTTGGTATCACTGCCTCCCCAAGATGTAGCGCTTTAGATAAATGAAGGAATCCTTAAAAAGTACTAGCAGAAGAAATGAGTGGTCAGTGTATATAGGTATTCTTAATATTCATGAAGGTCAGACATTTTCTTAATGACAGGTCAGACACAAAGCCACTGAAGGCAAAGGATCACAGATCTAAACCCACACAAAGTACCTTACAGATAGTAGGTGATGTTATCATTGTAAGCATTACTGATAAAGCTTATTTTTAACAAACAAGGAGATGTAGTGGATCCAGAAAAGAAATACTCATTACAATTAGGACACTCTAAATTCAGATATGAATAAATGTTTAAATGAATATACTTAAAGACAAAAAAACAATAATAAAAAAAGACACAAAATGGCTAAAAATTAAAAGAGTTTAAAAATGCAAAGGTTATGAAAAGCCAAAATAGGTTAAACAGAAGTAAACAGAATACTAAATAACTGTTCTCTTATGTAGAAAATCTCTCTGGAATCCAGTTAACAGTAAAAGCCCCTAGCAATTTTATGAAAATCATGTCAACTCCTCTTTCACTGGAACAAACTTGATGTGCTAACTCTGTGACAGGCAGTGTAGGTTACAAAGGTGACTTAAGACATAGTTTGCCTTCAGAGTAGATAAAGGGTACAGCCAAGAGTTTTCAAATCACATGAACTTCTGTTAACAGGATAAAATATCCAAAAATTGGGGGTAGAGAAGGTGAGACAAATGAAATACGAAATCCTCACAGTGAGAAGCACTGAAGCAGTGTTTCTAGCTACTTTTAAGTCCGTTTTCAAATACACCATATAATATCTTATTTTATACTGGGAAAGTAGTAAATGGAAAACTGACTGCACTTGGATGTTAAGGTGAGCTGCTAGGGCAAACAAAAGATATTCTGGGTGGTTCTAAAATAAAAAGGAAACGCACAAATATATTTGTTTCTTGCATAGTAATTATCCATACAGTTACATGAAAATGCTGCCTAAATGAAACAATTCAGCATCCAGTCAGAAAGTTGCGAGAAATATTTCACCACTATTTTACCGGTATGCTAGAGGGCACTATGAACAGAGGAAACCAACCACGGCAGCACTGTGCAAAGTCAGAACTGCAATGGTAATGATACAGACAGTTAAACAAATGTGGGTTCTACCACACTCTAAAATAAAAGCAATACGTTTTTGCTCTTTTACCAAGAACAAAGAATGTCAAGAACCAGCTTCTACCCAGAGACCATTCCCCCTTCTCTGTGAAAATCCTTTTCCTTCTAGTCAAATGCTGTAACTTTTAGAAGACTCAACTAGTGGCTTCGTCTTTGTGTCCTTATTTCCAGTCTCACACTCCATTTCTTATTCCACACAACTGCCCAAAATATCTTTGTAAAAATAGGATTTTACAACCTTCCTGAATAAAATCTCTAATGTCTTCCCTTAAAAACTAAGCTCAAATTCCAAAACAGGGCCTAAAAGGGCTCGTTTTCTGGCCTCCACTGTCTTTTCCAAATTTGTCTCCTAAAGATTCCTCACACCTTAAACTAGTCTCTTTTCTATACATTCAAGGCTACTTCCTATTTCTTTGTCCTCTTCTGTGAAGGCTTTCTCTGATCTCCTCCACACCCCCAAGCACTCCCTCTTTCAGGTTGCCATAGTACCTGGCACATTTCTCTCTTAGGGCACTTATCATAGTGCACGGAAATTACTCCTTTAAATGGGACCCTGTATTCACCAGCCTGAATTTATAGAGAGCACAAACATTTGCTATTTTATTAAACATTTATGGGGCACCTGCTACCTGTTAAGCACTGGGGATCCAAAGATGAGTAGGACATGATCTCCGACCTAAAGGAAACTCAGTGTCTAGAATATAAGTTCAACAAATAAAGAGTTACAACACAGCAAATGTCAAAAGTATTAACAACAGAGAAGAAAAATGGCACAAAGGAGAAAATGATGAACTCTGCCTGGAAGGTCTTCACAGAGATGATGCTTAAGTTCGTCTTCAAGGATAAGTAAAGTTCGCCATGGTAACAAAGATGAGGAAGAGCATTCCTCACAAAAGGAACAGCATCTGCCAATCCATGGAGATATGCCAAGAAATGGTGCAGTATAATCAGGCAAGAATAAATAATTTAGTATGACTAAGCATGGAGCAAAACAGGGAAATAGATTTCAAATACACTACACAGAGACTCTGTAGAGGTAAAATTTGGATTTTACCATGCAGGCAACAGAGAATCACTTAAAGTTTTATATGAGGGGAATGACAAAATTATATTTGTATTTTACACCAATCCCTCTGTTAACCATGTGGAAGACAAACTGAAGAAAATCTGACTAGAAACAGAGACATGAGATATTTTAATAGCTTATTAATAGTTAAAATAATTTTAAGGGCTTGTACTAAGATGGTGGTGTGGGAACAGAATGGGGGAAATAAATAAAATATATTTAACAGGAGGTAGAATCTATAGATGTGGTGATTATGTTTTCTACAGGTAAAGAAGGAATCTAAGGTAACTCCTAAGTTTCTGGTTTTAGGAACTAAACAGACAATGGTGCTATTTGCAGAGAAAGTGATAGAAGGATAATGAAAAGGTTGAAGGGCATGGGGATGAAGATCATAAATTCAACTTTAGACATGAGTCTGAGGTACCAGTGAGACACTCAGGCAGAGAGGTCCAGTAAGCAAGTGGATAAATATGACTCGGGTTCAGAAGAAAGGTTGCGGCTGAAGATACATAGATTTGGGAATTTGTGCAAACAGAAGCCAAGGGAGAGGATGAGATTACTCAGGGAGCAATGTGAAATGAGAATGGGGACCAGAAGATAACCACGTCCAGCTAATTTTTGTTATTTTTAGTAGAGAGGGGGTTTCACCATGTTGGCGAGGATGGTCTCGATCTCCTGACCTCATGATCTGCCTGCCTTGGCCTCCCAAAGTGCTGGGATTTCAGGCATGAGCCCCCGCGCCCACGCCCTCTTTCTTAATGCAGTCTCTGTATTCCTAACCCATTGTAACTGTTGCTTGCTGTCTGTCTCTACTTAGTGGTCTGACCTTTGAGCCTTGATCAAGATGCCTTCACTTTCAAATTTCCCTGGCATATCCTTAAGATAAGAGACAGTTCAGACATTCTGAAAAGTTATTTGAATTTTATTTTATTTTAATAGTCTACCTCCAAACCCAAATTCCAAAATCTGATTACTTTTAAGCTGAAGGTAAACTCAGACATTTTCTTTTTTTCTGGCCAGAAGGTTTTAAATTTGAACTAGTTGACAACATTTAAAAACAGAGAGCTTCTCCGGAAAACATGGAACATCTGCTAACACTGGCCACATGTTCCTTCATGGGAACCATCAGTTGCTGCTAAAGAGTAGCAACATCCTCTTTATAATCTCCCATAGTCTCTTTGTCTCCCCATCCCAGCCAATTGTCTCCACATCAGTGAGCCAAGTGTCAACTTTCATTTGTCATCTTACATCTAGTCCACCTGACTTACTTTTATTACCAGCCTGATACTGTAGGCATTTGCGTCTGTGACCCTTAAATAAAAAAATAAGTAATACATGGGCAGAAACATTGTTTATCTTATATACCTCTGTAATCCCAGTGTCTAGCTCAAAAACATTTGTTGAACAAAGTCTGTTTATTCCAGAAGAATACATTACTAAACTTATAATCAAATTGGAAGGAAAAAATGATTATAGGCCAGGTGCAGTGGCTCACACCTGTAATCCCAGCACTTTGGGAGGCCAAGATAGGCAGATCACAAGGACAGGAGTTCGAGACCATCCTGGCCAATATGGTGAAACCCCGTCTCTACTAAAAATCCAAAAATTAGCCAGGCATGGTGGCACGTGCCTGTAGTCCCAGCTACTCAGGAGGCTGAGGCAGGAGAATCGCTTGAACCTGGGAGGCGGAGGTTGCAGTGAGCTGAGATTGCACCACTGCACTCCAGCCTGGGTGACAGAGCAAGACTCTGTCTCGGGAAAAAAAAAAAAAAGATTATAATGCAGAATTGTTGAGGTCAAATTAAAAATATATTATCTGCTAATGGAGGTTAGCTTTGGGCTCAAAGTCAGGACTATGAAACTAAACACTGGATCTAAGGGGGAACAAAACCAACCATCTCAAATTTAAAAAGTTAACAAAATTCACTTATAAATGCAATTACCATAATTACCATATTTGCTATGACACTCACTCATCGGTAATGTGATTATATTTAGAAATTATTTAGATATGTAATTATTTATTTAGATTTATATATTTAGATATACACTTAGGTATGTAATTACAGGAGAAATAAACTTTATTCTTCCCCATTTTAAAACTTTTTAAAGGTATACAAAAAATACATGTTCATTATAGAAAAATCATACAGACAACTAAAAAAATCACCAGTACTCTTATTACTCAGAGGTAACAATAAATAATATTTTGGTATATATTTTGACAAACCTTTTAAAATGAATAGATACACATATGTGTGATTTTGGATTTATGCATATACATGTATAATTATACTTTAAAAAACAGATCATTTCTGATCTCAAATCAATTCAGCCAATATTTACAGATAACTATGTGCAAGGCACTATGCTAACCACTTAACTCCAAGATGCTAAATCAATCTTTTTTCAAAATCATTAAAGAAGAAGTAAATTGTCTAAAAGAACAGATGCTAAACAGTCTATAATAATAGCTAATATAATTATTATGAGAGGAAATATGGCAGAAAGAAAAGACAGGACCCAAATTTGGGCTCCTGCCCTCAGCAACTGTGTGACATGTTATTGAAAGGCTCTCAGGTGGCAGGTTGCTTCATTTATGAAATCGAAACATAATATTTACCTTACAGGATCATTATGAGAATTAAATGAGATTATACATAGAATGTCAGGCACATGATACCTCTCGATTCATAATCATTATGATAATGATCAAATTAGGTTACTAATATACCATCTTAATGTGAACTTAAGTGGTTGGATCAATACATCAGAAATGAAGTTTAAGAATAACAATTGACTTAAGATTTTAAGAGGAGTGAACTTTTCCATCTCCAAATTATCTATCTTACTTTTTTAAAGTACCCCAGTAGAATATAGATCTGCCTAGATGGGATTTTATACTAGCGGATTTACAAAGTAGAAGAAGTAAAAATAAGAATAACTGAATAATCAAAGTTCCTTGTTAGGAAAACTTGCCTTTTGCAGAGTAATCCATATAATTTTAGAAAATATCTTTAATTGTTGGATCTATCTCAGTAGACAATCACTTTATATATACTGATAGAGTAGTATTTATTACATTGTAGTACAGTTATTTTCAAATTTCTCTCTACCACTATCTTAACTTTGTCTCAAGGGTATTATGCATTTTAAAAACTTCTATTCAGTATATTATATAGCTCACATTCAGTAACTACTGATTGGAAAACTTAGTAAAGAAACCAAAACTCCTATAGCTTTAATTCCAAGAGGAATTAAAAAGAGGAACTAACCTAGACTTGTGCCTGCTTATTAAAATAGTAACCCCTGAATTACTGAAGCAACTTTTCATAATGGCTCTAAGTCCTGCCCCATTAAGATGAAGGCTGGGTTAAGGATACAGAAGGCAAACTTTAAACGTGAGTGTGTTTGGTAATGTATCTGTCTTTGCATGTCTCAATGAATTCGGAAGCGTATAAAAAATGTTTTTGGCTATTAATTTTTATTAACTCCTTAGCCTAATAGAACAGACAGTAAGCTTTGGAAAGAATGGAATGAGATGACCAGTACTAACACTATCCATTAAATATCTCGAATTCCCTCTGAAAGATAAAAGGCAGAGGCAAAGAGAGTTTAACCTACCTCTCTCTTTGCAAAGGACAAAAAGGAATTCAGCAGCAATTTGCTTGACTCCAAGGTCAACATGTGTCATGAGGCGCACCAGCTTATTTCTCACAGTTGAGCCAACTTCAGGTCGATTTGTCACATCCCTCAACGGTGGTAAAACCTGATGGCACAAATGCAAAACCCATCATCAATCGAGGCTACTAGAGTGAGTGAAGATGGTACAATGCAACTGGCCAGTCTTGTAATATCTACTGGGGTTTGTATTGTAGGAGAGAAAAAAAAAAAAAAAAAAAAAGGTTAGCTTCCAA